AGTTTAATTCAATGCAACTTTAAATGTGGAAGTTAATAAATCAATGTATTGCAGAATGCACAGAAATTGAGAAAGCCCAACAGTGTACTTAATGAGTTTTTATTGGGTATTTCTGCTCATAGCATCAAAAGATACAATGACAGACAAGTCTTTTTTAGTTGGGAGGGGGTAATGTTTAAAAGTTTGTGTCAGAGGGCTAGGGAAATGGCTCCAGCAGTAAGATGTCACATGAGCCTGAAGACCCATGTTTGAATCCCCAGCCCTCACAAAAAGCTAGCACCACAATGTACACCTATAGTCAGCATTGAAGAGGCAGAAGCAGGAGGATCCCTGGGGCTTGCAGCTACCTAGTCTTGCTTGCCATATAGATGAGCTCCAAGTTCAGTGAGAAACTATCTCTCAAAAAACAAAAAAAGTAGAAATCCCAGCACTCTGGAGGCAGAGGCAGTTGGATGTCTGTGAGATTGAAGCCAACCTGGTCTACTTAGTTCAGGCCAGCTGGGGCTACAGTGAGACCCTGTCTCAAAAAATTAAAACTAAAAATAAAGATACTGATACAAGACATCAGGTCAACCTCTAGCTTCTACACAGTGCATTCAAGATGTGCACACACAGATACACAAAAACTTGCATCTGAATTTAATACCTGTAATCTATTGGGGCCCTGCAAGACGGCTCAATTGGTAAAGATACTTGCTGCCAGTGCCTGATGACTTGAGTTTGATCCCTCAAACCCGCATGATAGACCGAGAGAACCAACTCCTAAAAGTTGTCCTCTGACCTCCATATGTGGGTTGTGACACAGGTACCCCCCCCCAAAAAAATGTCAAAAATATATATATATATATAAAGCATAGCTATTAAAACTAGAAAAAACTTGGGAGCTGGGGATATAGTTGTGGGGAGTTTGCCCAGCATTTGTACAGTCCTAAATTCAGTCTCCAGTACTTAAAAAAAGGCAATAACAAAAAACCCAGAATTCATTGTGAAACTAGTTTGTCCTATTTCATATAAAGTAGAAACGTCTACGATAATGTCATGATTGCTTTACTTGTAGCAACTTTAGCATTACCATCTGCTCTGTAATTCTGTTAAAAATGCCTTGCACATCCATCAATTGTGATTTGCAATTGTGGTAAAACTGATGAGAAAATCGGAATCTGCACGTTTTAGTGGGAGCGATTCAGATGTTTGTCCTGAGACCAGCTCTCTTGGAGTTGGGTCTTAATCTGAAAGTGTATATGAGTGTTTTCTCCAAAGACCTTAAAAATGATAGGCTAGTCAGATAAGTTGGTACATGCCTGTAATCCTAGTACTTGGGTCACCTGTGAGTTCAAGGCCAACCTGATCTACTTAGCAAGTTCTATAACCAAGCACATCTATGCATAAAATGTCCAGTAAGTATTAAAATTAAACAGTCAGGGCTGGAGAGATGGGTCAGCAATTAAAAGCACTGACTGATTCCTAGCACCCACATGGCAGCTACAAACTGTCCTTAACTCCAGTTCCAGGGGAATCCAAAGCCTTCTTCCAACCTCCACAGTACTGCATGACACGGGTGCACTCACATATATGCAGGCAATACACTCATACACATAAAAATAATAAATTTTTTTTTTAAAAAAAAGTCTTGGAATTGAAGAGATGGCTCTTGCAGAAGACCCAGGTTCAATTCCCAACACCCATGTGGTGTGTCTTAACTGCCCATAACTCCAGTTCCAGGGGATCCAACACCACTTTCTGGGCTGCACGATAAGTGCACTTATATACATGCAGGCAATACACTCATAAAATATTTTTATAAACATAAGTCTGAAAAGCGGAAGTATGGAAACCTGTGTGCCACCCGTACCCATCCTTTTTCAGTGTTTAAGTTTGAATCTAGGGCCCTGTGTGTGCTATGTAAATGTTGTCACCGTTGAGCTTTACCTCCCCCAGCCCAGCTTCTTTCCCTTTATGAGTTCATATCCTTTGAAACTTAACAGATTTTGTTGTTTTAGCCCTAAAATACCCCAAGTTCATAGATTTTCAAGTCTTTACAACCTAGACTTTTGAATTCCTATAGTTGTTTTAGGATGGTGTTTCTTTTAACATAAAGGCAACAGGGATGGAAGTATTTTTACAAGGCTTTTGTGGCACAAAAATAGTTAAATGGTTAGTGTTACAGCAAAGAAAATTGTGCAAGTTCTTAGGATTTTAAAATCTAGTAAGGCTGCACAGGCCTGCTCTGCCTGGCTGACTCAAAACTCAAAAAGAGGACTGGATTGCTGCAGGTTTAACAGGAAGTGCTGGCTGGATACGAGGAGAGGATGTCTGTTTTCTTACTGTCTATAACATCAGAGTGGCTTCCTCTGTAAGACTGTTTCTATGTTGGTTATTTTAACATTTATTTTTAATAATGTATTTGTGTATGGGTTTGTACACTAGTACAGGTACCCACATGGGATCCCTCTGGAGCTGGAGTTGAGGTAGTTATGAGCCTCCTGAAGTAGGTTCTAGGAACTGAACTTGGGTCCCCTGGAAGAACAGAGCCATCTCTCCAGCCTCCATTTCTATTTCTGTCTTAGTTTGTTTCTTCATTGCTGTGACAAAACACTCTGACCACTACCAACTTGAACTCAGGGCAGGAACCTGGAGGCAGGCCATGGAGGAACACTGCTTACTGGCTTGTTCCCCTGGCCCTTGCTCAGCCTGCTTTCTTATGCTACATAGGCCCACCTGCCCAGGGGTGGCACCACCCACAGTCGGCTGGCCCCTCCCACATCACTCATCAAGAAGATGCCCCTCAGACATGGCCACAGGCCAGTCCAATAGAGGAAATTCCCAAATTGAGGCTCCCTCAACCCAGGTGTGTCAAGTTGACACTAAAGCTATCCAGCACAACATCTTTGCCTAGGCTTCTGTACCTCTGTTAGTGGATTTGAGCAATACTTGCTCTCCTGTTATCTCAGCCTTATAGTTCACAACAGGGTGCTACTATTGCTGATGTCCAAATTACTGTCATCTTGCTATTTCCTTTACTTCATTCATCCTGTGCAGTCATCTCTTTGTTAAACCCTCCCATGTAGCCATAATGAATATAGTTGTGCCAGGTTCCCATTGGTGTATTAGAGCACCTTTGGAAGTAGAAACCTTTTTGGAAATCTATAGAACCTTTCAAATTCCCAGCATGAACCATAAAGACAGTTTTGATTTAAATTCCTGGTTTTTATTTTAATTTATGCTGCTCAGGATGAAGCCCCGACTCAAGGTTATAAATGACTTAAATACTGGTTCCAGATGATGTGGAGGGCTCTTAGCCATGATGCTGTACTGTTCATGGATTGCTGTGGCATGTGCTCTTAAAGTTGGCTATAGTATAGTCCAAATGTTTATGATTTGACATTTGATTCAGAGCAGTAGTTGACTTACCCAATGAGAACTCTTTGGTCAATCAGCGTCAACTCATGGCTGTAGCCTGAAGCTATGCTGGAGAAGATGATCATATTCATCTTGGGAGAGGGAAGAATGGTCAGAAGAAAGCAATTTATAAACTGCTGTAGATGAAACTTGGGAGGCAGATTCTTGTTGACAAATGTGTTTAGCATCAGCTACAAGTATATGGCTTTAATCATGGAAAAAATAGACTAAATTATAGATACTGAGTAGAAATACAGCCTCCTTAAAGAAGTCTGTTTTCCCTATGGATATAGACCTACATTTAAGGATTAAAAGGATCTTTGGCATTTGATCATTGGGCAGCAAGTGTTCTACACATGGGAGGTGGTGAAAGAACTGGGTTATTTGATATCCTGGGACTTTCTTTGACAGCAGTATTTCTGATAGAACAGTCTGCTTTGTTATGTCATTTTAGAGCTATACTTGCTAGTTAAGATCCTTTCATGGGAAAGTTCTTTCTAAAAACTCAATACAGTTTGTTTTAGGTACGGTGAGAATTTGTATTCTCAACTTTTGGAAAGGTTTTTTTTTTTTTTTTTTTTTGGTCTTTTTGAGACAGGGTCTCCCTGTAGCCACAGCTGGCCTGGATTCGCTGTGGAGACCAGGCTGGCCTTGAACTCATAGAGATCAGCCTGCTTCTGCCTCCCAAGGCTTAAAGGTGTGTGCCACCACACCTGGCCTTGGAAAGGTTATTAAATCATCCATTGATGGCAGTTTGTTTAAAGTTTATGTATTGTAGGAAAGGTACAATTTATATATCTCCAAAAATAATGGCCTAGGTACCTAGGTTTGTACCCTGTCAAAAAGACTGAACAAATATAAGCTGAGATACATACACAAAAGAGGCAGGGACTTCAAATAGATCCTGCACCCTCCAATTCAAGCTTAAAAGTGCTTGTTTCAAGCAAACTTTTCACCTACTACCTTTTGGAAGTGTAACTTTCCACCAAGGGCATGAGTTTCATTCAGTTCTGATTCATTAGTCTAATAAGCAGAAGTGCTTTGCTTGGAAGGGCAGCATGGATTCACACTAGGAGTTAAAAGACTGTTGCAACTTTGCAGTTGACTTGAAACTCTCATTAACAGTAAGTGGGGCAGCCCCTGGGTCAGACATTTAGAGAAAATGAGTAGAGCCAGCACAAACCACCACCAAGGATCTCTAATATTTTCAGCAGATGCTTCACTGCTGGGGAAAATTTCACCTTGGCCTTTGCAACAACTTTTTTTTTTTTGAATCATTACAGCAGAAGTGTCCTTTTGAGTAAGCCAAATTAGTAACATTACTTGATAACTTCATAGTCATTCATAGTAAAGAAAATATATGCGCTGCAAAGGGGTAGGGACGGAAGAACTGAACATTTAGTGGTTTTCCTTTATTTTAATGAATACCTTATTTGAAGAGCTCATGAGCTTCAGGACCAGCTACTTCTGGATAGTGGAGGAGGTGCTGTGGATGAGAAATTCTGTATTCTCAGTGTTGCTTTACAGCATTTCACCTCACCTGGCTCTCCATTAGGCCTTTGGATGACCCAGGACTATCCCTTCCACCCTACTGAGAAGTCCTAAGAGGTGCTGGAGTTGGGTCCTTGGCATACAGCTGCAGCTACTCGGCTAGGAGGAAGAAGAGGAGGAGGTGGGGCAGGTGCCTGCACCTCTTGATTTTCTTCCTCTACCAGTGCGTATCGCCTGGCTTTCCTGGGGTCAGGCTCTGGTGTCTCCTCTGCCCATCTTCCCACACGGCGCACACCTTTGCGCACCTTGGGTGCATTTCTGCACGGATTGTGGTCATAGATGACCAGCTTCAGATTCGACAAGTGGGCCAGGCTGGGAAAGTAACGGATACTGTTCCGATCCACATCGATCACCTCCAGGAAGGGCATGTGAAGCAGCACAGCGGGGAAGTCTGCCAGCAGGTTACCTGAAAGCCAGATGGTCCTCAGCTCCCGGAGGCGCTGGAGCTGGCTGGGCAGCAGGCGCAGGGCATTGGAGCTAGCGTGCAGGGTCTTAAGGAGGCTCAGCTCACACACCACATCAGGCAGCTGGGTGAGGCAGTTGGCTTCAATCCACAGGGTCCGCAGGTTCTGGAGCAGGCTGAGTTCACCTGGAAGGTCGCGGAGTTTGTTGTTGCCCAGGTAGAGTATGCAGAGCTGTTTCAGGGTACACACCACCTGGGGCAGAGCCTTGAAGTTGTTGAAATCCAAGGCCAGGATCTGCAGGTTCTGCAGCTGTGCCAGCTCGGGAGGCAGGCTGTTGAGGTGATTGTCACTGAGGTAGAGCTTGACCAGCTCTGTGAAGGAGCACACGAGCACTGGGAAGCGGCGCAGCTGGTTTCCGCTCAGATCCACCATCTTGTCCAGTGGCATCTCCTGAAGGTCCCTGACCACGTAGTTCTGGCAGCGGTCAGTGGGGATGAAGGCCACGAGGGCCCGGATGGTGTTCCCCATGTGTAGCCTGCTGTCTGGAGAGTGTCTGCCCACCAACTCTGTCAGTGAGTGGGGCTGGCTCTGCTAACTGCTCTGGGTCCTTTCTACCCTCCTTTTATAACCCAGAGATTCTGCGCTTGATCTTAGCCAAAAGCTGAGAAGCGATAACCTGGGGATTCTGTAACAAAAGCCAGTCACTTTGACAGAGAAAAGTGGTCCTGATAGCAACTTGAGTGTTGGGTGACAGGAGCAACAGACAGGGAGGGTCTGGGAGGCCATGTCTAACTTACATATTCCCCTTTGGTCTCCTAGGCCCCAATCACAGTTATCTACTTTTAGCCTGTTTTTTTTTTTTTTTGGTTTTTTTTTTTTTGCCCCCTAATGACAAAATGCTGCGACAGTCCACAAAGGTGGAGAAATAGAAAATTAAAAATACCCATCATTCTACTACGCAGTTATATGTATAAATGTTTTAATGTATAGTTTTCAAGCTTTTTTGCTACAAGTGATCAATTATTTAAAAGAAATTGCACTGTATGAGTTTCTATAAAGCATATCATGGACATATTTTATACTTGCATATCTACTATTTTCTTAAATACATAGTATTCGGTACACTGACTTACAATTTTTCACATTGGATCAATAGGTTACAACATGTGACTGTTGTAAACATTCTTGTACATACAGTTGTGAGCAGCAAGGCTGGGACATAGCTCCGTGGCAGTGGGCTTACCTAGTGTGAACAAGACCCTGGTTCACATGGCAAAAACAAAACAAGCATGAGCAGTCAGTCACCTACTAAGCTCTGTAGGAAACATGCTTGATGGTATTGTCAAAGGCAAGCAATGTTCATTGATAATCTCCTCAACTTCACCAAACCTGGATCGGGACACATAACCAGAGCACTGGCTTCAAGTACTCATTTTCTTGCTTTATTTTTATTTTTATTTTTATTTTTTTGTGGTCTTTTTTGAGATGGTCTCCCTGTAGCCCCAGCTTCCCTGGAACTCACTATGTAGACCAGGCTGGCCTTGAACTCACAGAGATCCGCCTGCCTCTGCCTCCCGAGTGCTGGGATTAAAGGTGTGTGCCACCATGCCTGGTGCTTCTTCATTTTACAGTTCATATTTTCCCACGCTTTTAAAAACTTACTTTGAGTTGGGGGTGTGGTTCAGTAGTAGAATACTTGTCTAGGATGAGTGAGGCCCTGGGATCTCTTTCCACTCCTGCCAAAACCTACATAAAAGTCTTTTGACAAAAGACAAGTCAACCAGCAGAAGAAAAGAGGAAGTCTAACCTTCTAAAGCTTAGATAAATTAGAATGTAATCCTATCGTGCAACTATGTCAGATGCATTTAAATGCCCACCGAAGGTTTGTATTTCTCTTCCATTGTAGCTGCAGTTGAAAGGAAGCAGTGGTCACTCAGTGCATTCCAAGGACTGCTCAAGAATGAAGGTCTTCAAGATCTGCCCACTGGGGGTTGGAGGGATGACTCAGTGGTTAAGAATATGTGCTGCTTTTCCAGAGGGCTTGTGTTTGATTCCCAGCACCCACATCAGACAGCTGGCTGCCTACTGCCTCACCCAGCTGCCCTATGTGCTGTGTGAGCCTCCTTAAGATCTACATGCTGGTTCCAATGCCCTGTGTCTGTTGCCCAGATCAGCTCCGGAGCATCCCCACGCTGAGGACCCTCTGACTCTCAGGCAACCTGCTGGCAGACTTCCCTGCTGAGCCGCTTCACATGCCCCTGTGCTGCTTCACATGCCCCTGTGCTGCTTCACATGCCCTTCCTGGTGGTGACCGAGGTGGATCTGAACAGTATCCATTACTGTCCCAGCCTGTCCCACTTGTAGATATATGACCACAATCCTTGCAGAAATGCAGCCAAATGCCTTCAACTCCAGCCCCAACAAATTTGACACCTTCCACTCTCTTTGGGCACCTGCACACATATGTGCATACATATACAGACACACAACTATATAAATATGTATGTAAATGTATTAATATATAAATAATAAATCTTTTTTGAAATATTTAAGTTCTGTCTACTGGAAATGGGGGAAGAAGTGTTTAATGTCTCCTAGACATGGCTTTTTGTTGTAAAACAGGCTCCTCACCCTCCACCACACTTTTTCCTCCCTTTATTGACTGGGTATTATCACTCAGGGTGACTCTAGAAGCCACCAAGTATGTGGAAATCACATGCTGAAACTGGCAGGACTTTGGGTCATCCTGGATTCCTGAATAAGTGCTGGGAGCAGAACACCCCCCTTTGCCCCATGCCTCCCTCTGCTGCCCGCTGAGTCTAGGTAAATGAAAAGTAAATTTAAGGTGTTGAGATCTAGGGACTTACTTATACTACCTTATTAAATTATAAATGTTATTAAAAATAAGGAGATAACTACATATATTGATTTAAAAAGATACTCGGGATAACTTAGGAAGAAAACAAGCAAGATTCAGAGCAGTTTTTATGATTCCCATCTATGAAAAATATGCATATATCTTTATGTGTTCATAAAAATTCCTAAAAGAAGTAACTGATTCTGAGAAATCTGAGATTTAAAGATGGAAGGGATGTTAACTTTTCTACTTACACTATTTGTACTGTTTGGCTGTTTTTAAAAAACATATTATTTTAAAATTAAAACGTAGCTCAGCATGATAGCACCTACCTATAACCCTACCACTTGGGAATTTAAGGCAGGAGGATTGCTGCAAGTTTGAGGTCAGCCTGGACTATATGATGAGTTTCAGGTCAGCTTGGGCTACAGAGTGAGACCCTATCTCAAAACAACAATAAAACAAAATATAAAACTAGTCCAGAACAAACCCAGTCCATCCACTTGTTTGCTTTGGACAGATCATCTGGGTTTTGTGGGGAGGACTAGATAGCCATTGAGCCTCGTCCAACACCTTCACTATAAGACCTGGCAGAGCCATGGGCCAGGAGCATCCATGAGAGTAATTCTACAGGGCACCACTTGCTTCCTACTCACAAGATTATGACCAAAGCCAGTGTTCTTTGCCTTTCTACACTTTGAATGTCAAGGGCTTTGCATATTTTATCATAATAACTAATCTCAACAAGTGCTGTGCTTTCCCTCTATATTTAGCACAGTCAGTGGTGACCACAAATGGTCATGAAGCAACTTCCCTGTTGTCCCCAGAAATGATAATCATAAATATATTGCTACTAGTTATTATTTGTTGAGCATTTGCTAAATACAGAGTACAATGCCAGGTACTGTAAATTCAGCATATAAATTCTTACATACAGATAAATATTTTAGTCTGTTTTTTAGATGAGAAACTTGTGTCTCAGAGAGGCTTAATAATGACATTATTTATCGAGCACCTGTTATGCTCTGAGTCAGGGAACCTGGTGTCTAACAGTGGGGCCCCAAGTTTACAGGGGATACAATTCCACCAGGACAGGGAAACTGGAGCTCTAAGTCATTAGCCAGCATCATTAGGCAGCACCAGTTAATAATCTTTGTTCCCACACACAGAACTTCCATTCAGCACTTTAACACCAGCCTACAAGTAAAAGTGAGTCATTAAGGATAAGTCCCATGGTTTGGAGGTGGCTTGAACCCCCCTCAAAGGTCCATGTGCCAGAAGCTTGTTTCCTAGAGTGACAGGGTTGAGGTTTAGAGTTAGTACCCTATGGAAGGTAATTAGGTCATGGTGGTCCACCCTCATGAATGGGTTAGTACTACTTACTGGTAGTGGTACAAGCCTGGTAAGGAACAAATTAGTCATAAAAGAACCAAGCGCCATCCATGATCCCTTGTTTCCTGTGTTTACATGTGACTTTTCTCCATGAGGTCCTACTATAATACTATGGAACTACCTTGAGATTTGGGGATGATGGAGAGGAACCTCACTCTCCTGAGCTGAGCAGATACCTACACTATGTTGTTTTTTAATGTGTTTGTGTGTGTATGTGCATGTGTATGAAATGTAAATGTGGGTGTCCACACAGTGCAGAAGAGGGCATTGGATCCCCTACAGCTGGAGCTACAGGTGGCTGTGAGCTATCTGACAAAGACACTGGGAACCAAACGCCCATCCTCTGCAAGAGCAGCAAGTACTCTTAACTACTGAGCCATCTTTCTAGCTCATGCACTATGTTCTTTACCCTCCAAATTGTGAGTTAAACAAACCTCTTCTGCATAAAGTACACAGCCACAGGTATTAAAGCAGCAGAAAACACTAAGACAGTAGCTGAATCTGAATCTGAAGGGTGCTGGATAGCTTCAGTTGTCAACATGACACACCTGGGAAGATGGACCCTCAGTGGGAGAATTTCCTTTATCAGATTGATCTGTGAGCATGTCTGTGAGGCTTTTGTTTTTGTTTTTTGTTTTTTTGAAACAGGGTCTCCCTATGGCCCCAGCTAGCCTGGAACTCTCTATGTAGACCAGGCTGCCCTCAATTTCACAGAGATCCTCCTGCCTCTGCCTCTTGAGTGCTGGGATTAAACGAGTGCACCACCACATCTGACACATTTTCTTTATTGTTGAGTGCTGTTGAAGGACCCCTTGGGCAGCTGGCTCTGGGCTGTATAAGAAAGCAGGCTGAACACAGACCAGGGGAGCAAGCCAGTAAGTAGCATTCCCCCATGAACTCTGCTTCAGTTCCTACCTTCAGGTTTCTGTCCTGCTTAAGTTTCTGCCTTGGCTTCCCGTAGTGATAGACTGTCACTTGGAAGAGTAAGATGCAATAAAGTCTTTCCTTCCCAAGTTGGTTTTGGTCAGTGTTTTTGCTGCAGCATAGAAAGCTAAGTAGGAAAGATGGAGATCAGAATAAGAAAAATAAAAAAAATCAAGAGGGCTGGGGAATGTAGCTCAGTTAGTAGAGTATCCTTGCCCAGCATGTACAGGCCCTGGTTCAATTCCAAGCACCACATAAACTAAGAGTAGTGGTAGACACTTGTTATTTCAGCATCCAGGAGGTGGAGGCAGTTGCCTAGCATGAGGAGGTGGAGTCCTCCTCCTCAGCTATATAG